TTATTCAGATAAATAGTGATAAGACACTATCTTAAGGGGAAATGATTTTAAGCTCAAGAGGGAAGGTTTAGATTGGATGTCAGGGGGACATTCTTCACACAGAAGTGGTGAAGTGCTGGAACAGCTGCCCAGAGAGGTTGTGGGTGCTCCATCCTTGGAGGTGTTCAAGGCCAGGTTGGATGGGGCCCTGGGCAGCCTGATCTAATATTAGTTATGGAGGTTGGTGGCCCTGCCTGTAGCAGAGGGGCTGGAATTTGATGATCATTGGGGTTCCTTCCAACCTGAGCCAATTTATGATTCTATGATTAGCACTGGGCAAGCTCTTTCCTAGTGGAAAACCAGTGAGATCTCACAAACTGTAACGTTATCTTGTACTGGTTGTACTCAGCTCTTGCCTTGGCCAGGCCACCTCCAACTGTTTAATTTAATTTCTATGTGGAGGTAAATAGCCTTACTGTGGCTGTAAGGGAATGCTGAGATTTTCAGTGCAGTCTTTGGTTTTTCAGACAGAAAAAAAAAAATCCCCTAAAGGAAAAGTTTTGAATTCCTTGTCTCACCCCTTCCTGTTTCTCTTTATTGTCATCTGTGTACATGTATGTTTCAATCTTGAACAGCACATGAGGAAAGTAGTGAATTTTTTGGTTATGAAAGTCTCTTGTAGTCAGTATTAATTAAAATAGCTGCACCAATCATATTATATCAAAGTACAATATTATTTTAAAACTGAAGCTTCTAATTGAAGTAAGATGAGTACTCAGCTCTTGCCAAGGAGAGGATTTCTCATTGTAATGTTTCTTGTGATGCTTCTGTGTTTCTGCATTGTGTGGTTTCGGGTTTTTGCATGTCTTTTAGCAAAAAAAGTTAGGATTTTTCTATTCATCTCCTTTTCCATATTTACTTTTTTACAGCCTTTCTGCCCAGCATATATCCTTACATCTTCAAAGACTTCTCCTTTCTGCTTCCCAGAAGGAAGCAGCATGTCTTTGCCAAAGCCTTTTCCAGCACTGTTCCCCAGTGTCAGTATCTGCAGCAGTGCAAGGCACAGGAAAAAATCTCCATCTGCCTGTCAGAGGCGGCTCCTTGTCTGTGTCTTCTCTCTTGTTCACACTCTTCCTACAGGTTGGTCAAACTACCCTGGCTGATTTTTCTGTGGATCGTGTTGAAATCTGAAGGAGTACTTTCTAGCAAAGCTGGAACTGTTTCTGCTACAAATGTCTCTTGTAAAGCAGGTAATGTGTGTCAGGGTGTAAGGCAGTTGTCTTGGGAGAATTGGTGCTCCAGCATAAAAGTAAGCACGCCTCTAGCGAGTGCATCAGAATTAATGAACATGGTCAGATGCCCACGAGGCTCCAACTCACTGCCCATAAAGTGCTCTTACGCAGTGGGCAAGTGAGAAAATGATGTACAGCCAAAGCCCTCGATGAGGGTGATCGTGTATGGTGACCTGCTTACAGAAGCATTCCGTTCTTGTGCTCCTTGAGGGACCTGCCTCCAAGGTGCGGCTCAAATGCTGACCCCCTCCTTCTCCTCCTCTTTTTGGCATCTTTTTGGGCGAAACAGTTACCTCAGCTCAGTCCCAAGAGAAAGCATTTTTCACAGGGCAGGTTTCCCCTGGGGAACATTCTTGCCTCTTGTATCATCGGGACATGCCCCTGCTCAGAGGGAAGGAGGAGCTCCTCCATGATTGAGCTATCTCATCCATCATGCTCCAAAATCCATTCCGGACTGGCCCATCCCTAATTAGGGCAGCACTCACCTGAAACACCATTTGTACAGATGACCTCTGTGCTGTCCCCCTCACGAAGCACCCTGCTGCCCCAGGGCCACAGCAGAATCTGCCCACCACTGCCCTCTGAAGTGCTGGACTTGGTTGTGCCACACCATTCCTTTCATGGCATACTTATTGCACTTTTGGGGCCAGCGTTCGCAAGGATACTGGGCACTTTCCCCCCCCCCTCTAGGCCCCAGGAGTTGCTGTGTTTACTTGGGAGACATATAATAATCTTTTTTTCCCCTACCGTAACAATTGGGCGAAACCCCCAGAAATGCTTGAGGCTGTCTAAATGCAACTGCTGGGCTGCAGATGTGTGGCATTTCTGCATTTTTTTAATCAAGGTGAGAGCACAGCATGCCAGTGTATTCTCCCATGCTTCCCTTGCACTGCATGCTCTGTTTCTTGGAGTGCTCAAGCAAAGCCACAAGACAGGCTCAGAACCCTCCCTTGCTGAGTCAGAGCAGCCACCAGCAGGAGCCTGCCTGTGAGACATGGCCGCAGGCCCTGCTCACTCTCGCCAGTTGCACCAAAGCACTTTAGTGTTTATGGAACTGGGGCAGATGTGTGAGAGGGCCTACAGGTTCCCCGAGGGAACTGGCAGCAGCCACATCTCCCACAGGCAGGCAGGGAAATGTTTTTCCCCCCTCACATCAGAGGGCCTTAAGAAATGTGCTAGAAATGAATTAAATCATAGCATTAATTGGCTATAAAGAAAAACTAACCCACCTTGCTAACACAAGATCTGCATGCAATTCCATTCACACCCACTGTCTAAGGCCAGGAGAGGGAGTGAAGAGATGCCTTTGAAAGGGCTCTCCAGATGTCTTTTCAGGGCTAAAGTGATCAGGACTGTGTCTTAATTTATTAAGAACTGCCGAAGATTCTCTTTTCCACATGTTAGCAGAAATGGAAAGCTACAGAGCAGAGGCAGGAGGACAGTCACATGGGTGCATGGACTTGTGAGTCACTGGGTTGAGCCTCGGACCAAAGAGATTTTGAATGGCTGGCAGGAAGGTGAGTAGGTAAAGGAGATTCAGTCGCTAAGATGGGACTATGAGGGAACACTGCCAGTACGGAGATGGGTGACTAATGGGGATAATCACAGCAGGATGCTATAGGTGCTGAAAGTAGCATTTGCTCAGCAGCTGCATGGAAATAGTAGTCAGTACGAGGTGCCGGATCTCCTCAGGGATACCTTCCATAGCTTTCCTTAGTGGGATGAAAATTAAGGGGAGAAACTAGGTTACTCAAGGTGTTCTCTGAAGTAGAGGAAACCACTGCAACCAATCCTGTCTTATTAGTTTATTAACTGTACTGCTTCTCTTGTCCTAGCCCCATCACCCACCATTCTGACTTGCAGAATTCTTTGCAAAAGCTAATCAAAGGAACCTTTGCTATTTTTCCCCCCCTCAAGCAAAGTTGGACCCTCATGCAAATGGAAGACTGACTGGTGGTGCCCATAGAGAACGTCATAACTGACTTAGCCTCTTGCTTCAGAAGGAGGTTGCTCACTGACAGCAGTGGCAAACTACCATACAGGAAAACAACACAAAAGGCTATTTCTAGTTATTACTTATATCCAAAACACCGTTTCCTTTCAAAGTCTATTAAGCCTGAAGGGAGACACCTATGAACAGCTTGTGCTTCAGAGAGCCTGAATAGTCACAGCAAAGGGGTTATGAGTTAAACCATCACACTGGCAAGTCATTCCAGCAGTGACCCCTCCCTCCAAAACACTTCAGTACAAAGACAGCATTGCTGGCATGCAGCACAGTGAGTGCTCTATAGGTTTTGTAGTGAAGTCTCTTTTTACGGGTTGCAGAAAAGGTAATGGCAGCTGGATGATGTACAACTTTCTTCAACAACACTTGGCATGAAACAAAGGAGCCCATCAATATAATGTTTTCAATTTATTTATATAAACAATTGCATTTTAAAAAAACCATTCTTGTCCTATAAAAATAGTGTGAAAAACAATTCACAGAATTTTAAATAAATAATCTCAAACATACACATTTATCACGATCAACTTGAACCCAGCCAAACCCAGCAGGTTGGGTCACAGATAAACATGGCTTCAGAGTACAAAGCGTAGAGTGAACTGGATTCCTTTCCAAAGCAGCTTGTAAGAACAAGGCTGAAATGAACTTTTTTTTTTTTTTTTTTTAAATGAATTCTTTTTTACCTACCTCAAAATAACTAGATCTGCCCAGACTTGTCTTCCTTTGATTTTAAGACATACTGTTTTCCTTGAGAATGGTAGTAGATGCTCTAACACATTCCAAAGGTGGTCTGAATGATAGCTACATGCTTAACCAATAATTAAGTAGCTTTCACTAATTGAACACAGTACTGGCCCCTTTTTTTTGTTACAAGGTTATTGAATTTTCTTCCTTCTGTGCCTCAAATACAAAGAGCAAAAACACCCTTCCATCTCCCAAAGCATTTATACCACAGACCACCTCAAATCAGTCACTAGTATCAATTGCTGTAGGAGATCTGGAGTCAGCTATTTGTGCTACCAGTTACAAATTTGCACTGTAGAACATGATCAGCATCTTTAAACAAATCAATAGAAATACAGAAGTCACAGTCAAACTATACTAGTACCACAGTCATTACAACACAAGCCTCTACAAGCATTCAAGAGATTCAGATGGAAATATAAAACAAGTCCTTTTCCACAAGTAGCCAAGGAATTTTGGCTGGGGGCATAGAATACCAGGTTGCTGCTCTACTCCAGTCTGAAGTAACATTCTTTTTATCTACAGTTCCCCAGCTGATTTTATGGGAAGATCATCTTCTACATTTCTTCTCTAGAAATTAAAAAAAGATACCCTTATATGCAAAGGTTGAAGTGCTGGTACAAGATCCCACGTAAGTTCTTATGTGCCCCAATGAGACTAGATACTTCAATGCTGGACCAGGACAAATGTGTCTGGGACATTTTGTGCTTAGCTAGCTATTATTTTTTTCTTCTTAGAGCTCAAGCCACTCCTTTAAAATGCCTCTGTTTATACTTCAATAAATAAAACATTAACATCCCCCCTCCAACCAAATAAACAATTTATAGTCATGAGTTAGAGCTCTATTTATGTAGACCTAGATTAACAAAGCCTTGGTGCCTTGAAGTTTAGGTCACTCAGTGCTACTTATGTTTATATAATATCCCAATTTTTTTTTTTCCCCCCCCCGCGCCCCCCATTTTCTAAATTATTCCCCAATAATTTCCATTTGGCTACGCAAACCTATATTATACTCATGTCCTTAAGGACAAAAGGATTGTATAGTTTTATCTAAAATAACAGATTTATACCATCCAGAGAATTTATATTGACCAATTACAGCTACAAAAACAAAAACAACCCCACACTAATAAACTTTGGATTAAGTTTAAGATCTCCCCAAACTCACAAAGTAAAATGTCTACTGATATACAAGCAGCCTTGTTTTCCTGCCTGACAGTCGTGTCTAAGCTCAGTACCTCTGTTAACATCATCTCACATAATACTTCTGCGACACATGCTTCAAAAACAAGTAGGATTTCAGACAAGTTCTATTATTCTTAAATAATTAAATTAATAATTAAATTAAAAATGATGAAAAAGTATAATGCCACACAAAAGGACAGACTTACAAAAAAAAAAAAAATCAATCATGTAAATTACTGTACAAAGTGCCTTATTTGCATGAGGGAGAGGTAGTATCATTGACAAACGCAATGCATTTTGACTTTAAATAAGCAAGTCTCAAACATATTTGTTAATCCTGGAGTGCTCATACGGAATTCAGAATCTTTTTTTAGCAGTTTCAATAAATCATGCTCTCATTTTTAGTCTGAAAGTCTGTTTTCAAGTTCAAAAAATTGCTGAGGCAATAACTTGCTTTTTGTAGTGTTACATGGCCTATCAAAGTGAGAAGACAATCCTAACACCCTTAGTCAAGTATTAAAACAAGTAAAAAAACCAAAAACTGGAACTTGGTCCATTTTGGAATACGTAGTTCTGCTACAGAAGGCTTTTAACAAGGGATTTGCTACTACAGAGCTGAAACACAGAAAATCCCTTTTTCTAAAATGAAGCCTTACCTGAGTAAGGAATCTAGGGCAACCCTCAAAGTGAAGATGCAAAAGGTTGCTTTTTGTTTTCTAAATACTAGAGCTATAAATAGAATAACTTAGATAAATAAATAAATTAGATGGCTAATTTACAACTCAGCAGATCGCTCTTTCAGTAGTAGTGTGGGGTTGATATCTTCCATTGCTGTGTTTGAGGTACTAACATTAATAGTTGCCTCTGTGGGTTCAGGATTTAAGACATGGAAAGCAGTGAAAGGACAGCCTTTCACATTGTTGCAGATGAGCTTCTGTAAGGAGGCAGTATTGATTATTTCAAACCCCACTTTTCCACCAAAGGTGCTTGGCTTCCAGTACTCAGGGGAGCATATTGTATTTCCCATCAGTCCTTTCAGAGAGAACGGTGCGCCAATTTCTACCATTGTTTCACCAAAGATGGCACCTGGTCTTGGCTTTTCTACAAGAAGGCCTGGATACAGTTCCATAGCATCTATGTCTCCGTAAAGCTCTTCTAGTTCAGCAGCCATTTCTTTTTCTCCTGTAATTATTAATGAATAAGAACAGTAAGTGGAAAGTCCTGTTTCAACAACAATATCCTGCTGAAGTTCAGAAATAGCATCACAGGTTTCTATTACCCACTTTAAGGAAAAATTGAACTTGTTTATAAGGAAAGATTAAAAACTGTTACCTGTAAGTTCTTCAAATGATTTGAATGGTTTCAACATGAAGCGTTTCCTGTACTCATTCAAGGACTGGTATCTCATTTCTCTGCTTTGGTCAATTGAAGCCTTTGCTACTTTTTGTACTGCAGCTGGAATATTTTTCCCACCAGCAACCTATTTGACAGAAACAAAAAAGTAGTAAGAACTCCACATAAAAGTTGAATCTTTATATTATTAGTTCTGGATAGATTTATTGAACTGCTGCTCAACCCCCAAGTTGATGTTTCCATACTAGTAACTTGAGGAAAATACCTACCCTGCCAGCACTTTGCTTGGAGAAAGATTTCACCATATGGGAAAGGCCATGTTCCAGCATTATGGAGTTGTTGTAGAGGAACTGCTGGAAAGTGTACTCCTGGTCACGTATCTGAAAAGTGTCAGGCAGCAGTGGGTGCCAGTGGTACAGAGTATTGAATTCAGCTGCAATTCGGTTCTGGTATTGAAAACGCTGGTTGAACAGAAGCTCAGGATCAAACTTCAGTTTGAAGTGGTAGCCACTCAAGTGCTGCACGTAATCTTCAATAACTATCTTGATTGTTTCTCCTGTTGGAGAATAAAAAGGATAAAAAAAAAAAAAAAAAAAGTCAATATAGCTTCCCCTAAGAATTACCAGGCAGTTGCCCTGCTCTGAGGGCATATTTCTAAGCTTCTCTAGGGAACAAACACACAGAAAACCTTCAAAACTATAGAAATCAAGAATAATACACTCATTAGCATTCTGTAGTATATTATGGAATGGATATTTATATTTTGGGAGATAAGTTTTCTCCCTCTACCACCTCCACAGCTTGCACCACTTTGCTTATCCTCTCCCAAACTATACTTCCTTTGGTTTTCTACAAAACCTGTAGAAAATCATTAATTACTGTCTGCATTGCATTTGATTATACAATACTATCTGGGATAGAGGTAGGAGGAAAAAGAAGTCAGCATCTCAAGGCAGTCTCTCAGCTTCTGAACTGCTTAATGTAATTGCTTTCTTTTGGTTTACTGTTTCATTCGCTATTTGGGCACAGACTTTTTCAACTGTGTGTATCAACATTAACAAGATGTAATACCATTTAACAGAAAGTAAGACATAAGAAACACGTACAGTTTTATTCTAGGCTGCTTTTCTGACTTAACTATAGCCCATCTCAAAGCATACCTGGTTTCACCCAGTCCCAGAAGAAATTGTCATAGTTGGAGAGCAACTGAGATCACCTAACCTCACAGGCTTTTTCTCTGAGAAAACTAACCTTAGCTTCTGCCTTTTCAGTTCTGCTTCCCTTAGATAAAAAGAAGTGTCTATCACTTGACTCCATTTTCTTCATTTTGGTATTTAACATGGGCAGGAGGAAGCTGTATTTTACAGCTTCAGTATTGTACAGTTTCAGTAGTGGTCATGAAGGTTGATTTATTTCCTCACATTTTTCTTATTAAATTTACTGCAGCTGCCATAGGAAATGGGCAGAAGTGTCAACCTCAAGAGAATATTAAGAGTTTTACATGCAAAAATAACACACCTATCAATATGAGTCTTGTAGTCTGAAATAGCTGCTCATCATCCCACTCTGGATGCTCCTGTTTCAAGACATCACAGACTCTGTTGTGTTCTCTTAGCCATATCGTTGCATACATCATTAGGCCTGGGACCAAGCCAAACACCTCCTGCCCAACAGAAAACTGCAGGTGCTCAGGAACGTGAGGAGGGTAGATCATCTCTGCTTGAGTGTCCTTTACTGTTGGTGGATACATTTCTCCATCAATCATCTGCCAGGGAGGGGGCACAGGAAAAAGAACAAGAGCATTATTAGCTAAGATGCTTATACGTTACACCACATCAACTCCATTAATGCCAACTTTAGGCGAGCTCTGCTGTGAACAGAGCAGTAATTTTAAGAAACATGTCAGCCAATAAAGAGGTGGCAGTTGAGATAAGATGTACCTGGTACTTTAGTTTTCCATCCTTGTGAAGTCTCAATTTAAGTTGCCTCTCCAGAGTCTCTCCATAAATGTGATTCAAGTCAACCTGTAAAATAAGAGCATTAAGAACATGAAAAGAACGTTAAAACAAGCCACATTTTTTTTGCTATTTTAGGACAGGTCCTATTTCTAATAGATGATCTGGCATCCACAGATGTTTACCTTTTGATTACAGTATTGTTACCTTATAAGTATCACACACTGATATTTAAGATGAAGCCAAATTATTTCCTGGCAACTGCAGCAATCTCTGCATTAAGTTTTTAAATCACACTGGCAATTTAAGAGGACTCTGTTTAGAGTGTCAATGGCATTTTATTAAGCAGACAGCTCTTTATATATACACAAAGATGTTACAGATTTCTGCTTTAGACATGCAAACTATATTTATATTGAGAATTTCTTCATCCCAAAACCATTTTTCTCATAGATAAATATCTTAAAATCCAAATTTGCTTTTCAAGTTCTTTTAAATCTGTCTAATTAGCAGCACAAAATAAAATACTGTATAAAGCATCTCTGCAACTGATGGGAAGAGTCCGGAGTAGTTCTAAAAACACTCATTACATCTAGCACACTTTAGGTAAAAGCAGATTCTTTGAAGAATTCACAGTCCTCACTGTACAGAGATCTTAAGCAGAATTATGTGCTTGGCACAAACAGTTCTGACCTAAGAGATGCTACTGAGTAGCTGGAATTTTGCCTAAAGATAAGCCACGTATGGGGTAAAGCCAACAGTTTGTTGCTGTGTTGCACAGTACAGTCACTAGTGTTTGCGTATTCTAACTGCTTGGTAGCTCCTAAGAGCTTAGTGCCGCATTCAAGTTCCAAAGATATGATCTTACCCCATGGCCATAAGCTTTAGTGAAGCCAGGTCCTTTCTTATGGTCTGTCTTAAAGAACTGATGAGTGAAGTGCTGGGCAAAGAATGTGAACATCACATTTGTGCCTTGTGGGTCAGGAATAAATTTTCTCCGCAGCAAGAATTTCTCCACAATCAGCTTTGAATCTGGGAGCTCCTTCTTACCTAGAAGAAAAGTTTCCTTATAGCAAGATATTCACAACAATTATGCTTCATACTTATTTTTACTCCTAACAACCAAACAGGTTTCCCATTTTCAACTCTTTTACAAAGGACAGCAGCTTACTAACAAGGGGAACTATCTCCTTTTTGTTGGTTGTAGTCATAGGTTTTCCATGCTTATTTTTTTGAATTTATTAAAGCTTTCTAATTCCTGGTTTTAGAACACAGTTCAATAATGAGTGCCAGAATGGTTATTTTTTAGGTCATTACACAATATAACTCATTCATTGCCACTCTCAAAGTCAACAGCGCATTAGGGTGGTTGCAGACAAGCAGATCTGTTGGTGTTTTCTAGGACAACAAGATAAATGACATTCCTAGAAATGAACACTGTGCATCCTTATTCCTTACCTTTAACACCCATCGGTGTTGGACAGTCATGTCCTACTGGTGGAAGGCTTCTTGTGTAATAGGAAAGATTGGAATAAGCTTCCCAGGATTTGTAATTATAGTCACCGTTGTATGTTGGTGGGCTGTCAATCAAGTGTGATCTTGCTGGAAGAGGAAAAAAAAAAAAAAAAAAAAAAAAAAGTACTTCTTAGGCTCCACTTTGATATATGCCAAATAAAAGAAGTCACAGTGCTACGTTGTTTCCATGTATTTTTGGCAGCGGTTGCATTCATAAATTCCACACATATAATTGCATTTGACTCCAGTAACTTGTGGCTAATAGATAATAGGAACCGATCCCAGTTTACCAGTTGGATCCAGCTACTAAATTTATAACAAATGGTTCAGGTTGTGTTAGCAAAATTTGAGATTTAATTTGAGGAAAAAAAAAAAAAAAAAAAAAAAAAAACATCTGAAAGCCTATTTCACACCAAGCGTGAATATGCTTATAGATCTTAAGTTTTCTTTAAAGTGCTTTTACCATAACACATTTTCCTCTTGCTATTTTATCAATAAACTAATCAAATAAAGTATTTGGAGCCCAACATATAGCTCCTGTCAGGAGTACTGGAAGAGTGAATGTATACTTACACGTCAACACGTATCTCATAATAGTATCTCGTAAGAAGGAAACATTGTTGATGATGTTCCAGACTCCTTTGAAGTGGGTGAGAATGTAGTGGACAGTATTTGGTGTAGGTTTTAATGTTAGTCTCAGCCATGTGAAGAATTCCGCTGTGAGCAAAGATGGAAAGACTGTAAGTTGCTATTCAGAAAAACCTGCAATTCTGTAATTGAGTTCTCAGACTCCATTTCCGCACAGAGATCAGAGGTACTTACGTGTCGTACAGTTTTCCCCATAATAGCCTGTCCTCGTGCAGTCGCATTCATACCGATCAAATCCTGTTGTCATACACACACCTCTGTTCTGACACGGGAGGGAGCAGCAAGGGTTGGCTGGAATGAAATCAAACGCCGCAGTTAAAAGAGCGCCTTCTCTACTGGATCAGCACCGCAGGGCGGGCAGCAGAACGAGTTCCACTCGCACGAGATTTCGGGCATCTCCCGGCAACATCAGTGACACAAGTATGGAAGCGCACTGCTTGCGGGCTGCGACGAACCAGTTCCGAACGCTGGCTCAGCGGGGGGTCCGACAGCCCTCCTGCCACGCTAACTTCAGAGTCACGAAGCACGTAAAACAGAAGTCCTACGCTCCGGCCGCGAGCATCGCCGCGGCCCAGCCCACCGCCGCCCATCCGAGAGCTCCCCGCACCGTGGCCGTGCGGCACCGCGCAGCACCGGAACCCGTTGGGCCAGACGCCCACCGCACCCCACACTCACCTGCGTGGCCGGCAGCAAGGAGAGCAGCCAGCAGCGCACAAGGCAGGAGCATATCCCGGCGGGCTTCTTTACGCTTTCCTCGCAGCTATTGAAATCCCAAGGACGCTCGAAATCGCACAGATCGTACTGCAGCCAGGTACTCACCCTCATTTATACATCCCGCCGTGAGTCACCTCCCCCCCCCCCGGCCCGGAAACTAACGAAAGGGGTGGGGGATTTCGCGTGCCTTGCTCCGCCCCGCTCCACCCCCCGCTCCCACCTGCTGTGGGCCGCCCCCGAGCGCGGGCCGTGCCTCGTTCCTCTCGGTCCGGTCTGGCGCGGTCCGGGCGCTGCGTGGTACGTGAGGGGGCGCTGAGGGAGAGCGCCGGGCTTGGGGCGGGGGAGCGCAGCACCGCGAGGCACCGTGCAGCGTAGCGGGGCAGCCGCGGGGTGCCACTGAGCGCCACTGAGCGCAGTGGGCGCGCGGAGCGGGCAGCCCGCGGCATCGTGTGCGCCGGGCTCCTTCCGCCGGACGCTGCTGACCCCCCGCTGACCCAGCCTTGGTTGGATCGTGGCTCATTCGCTTTTAGTGAGGTCATCTCGGCAGTTTCATTTAGTGAAGCGCGTTTCCTCACGCGCGGAGCAGAGCCCGTCGCACATCGTGGTGCCGCAGACGGATGCTGCGGGGTGAGACGGGTGTTTGGGGCATACTTGGTTTAACTTTTGCACATTTGCCAATCCCGTTATTAGGAGTCTTACCTCCATACGAGTAGCGCTGCTTTTTTTCTTGCCTTTGCCTTAAAGTGCCCCCGTTGCTCTGAGCACAGTCACGTTGTAAACAAAATCTTAGCTCATTTCCTCCCAGCAGCACGCAGACGGGATGCTTTTTGTCACAGATTTCTAACCGGCACACGTTACCTCTATTTTTACTCTTTGTTGCGCACGGAAGGTTACGAAACAACAGGACGTTGCCGAGTTGTGTAAGGGCCGCGCGGTGCTGGGCCGCGGTGTAAGGGCCGCGCGGTGCCTTCCCTGCCGCCTGCCCGCTCCGAGCCACGGTCGGGTCTGCAACGACGCCTCGAGATTTGAGGTGATGGTGTTTACATTGCAAATCGTTGCCTTGAAAAGGGATTTAGTCCGATTTAAACAAAATCTTTATTTTTGGCTCTGAAGAAACCTGCTTTGGCTGAGTGAATAATTTGTGCGCATTGGTAATTGGTCATCAAGACCTTTCAGAGAGCGGTGCACAAAGGTCTGTCATTGCGTGATTCTTCTGCAATAGCACAAGAAGCATCTTCTGATTTTATGCTCACACACACAGAGATATGTGTAGGTGTCAGTGTCCCTACAAAGCACTGCTAGCCTCAGCTGCACATATGGAGCACAACATGGCGTCAGGAGCCTGTCCCTGCACGCACTGCTGCTCGCTGTGCCTTTCTGCAGGTTGTTCAGCCCTCCCTTGTGTGAAACAGGGAGCCTGGCTCCTGCGTTATGAGCTCAACGTCTGGTCGTGAAACACAAGTGGTGTTAGAATCATAGAATCACAAGGTTGGAAAGGACTACGAGGTCATCGAGTCCAACCATCCTCCCATCACCACAGCTACCACAGACACTAAACCACATCTCACAGCTCCTCATCCAGACGCCTCTTGAACACTGCCAGGGACAGCAACTCAACCACCTCCCTGGGCAGCCATTCCAGTGCCTGACCATTCTCTGAGAGAAAAAGTTTTTCCTCATGTCCAACCTAAACCTTCTCTGGTACGACTTGTGGCCATTTCCTCGGGTCCTGTTGCCTGAGAGAAGAGGCCAAACCCCTCCTCATCACAACCTCCCTTCAGGAAGCTGTAGAGTGTAGTGTTCCACGGGACAGGATATGGAGAGGAACATCCCCTACACCATGGATCGAGGTCTAGCCTTACAGGTTTTGCATTTTCATTTCACACCTTTCCTATTTTGTCTCTCAAAGTGGTGATGGATGTTGTTGGGCACTAAGACCTCACTGAAAACATCAGACAAGCGAGGTGTTACTTTTTAATTGTGTGGGAATTGGTAAATGCAGACAGTATTTCTGAGATGTAAAAGCAACAGTGATAAAGGGAAAACTGAATGAGTTGCGTAGTAGAGAATTATCTTTGAAATGATTAAACCTTGCTTGGGTACCATGTAGATATGGGAAATGTATTAGTAAAGGTTTTTCATTACAAAAACAAATGCTATACACCTTGAGCAACAGAGCAGAACTTTTCTGCTGAGAGTGAGGGGATGCTGCTGCTGGCACCACGCTGTACTGGCTCCAGGCAGGGTGTGTGGTGAAATGTGAGCTCTCTTTAGTCTGCTTTATGCTGGGAAGGGGCATTTGTGCAGAGAATGGCTGTGCTGGAGCTGGAGGCATCCAGCGCCTGCTCTGGCAGGTTGAAGCAGGGTGATAGAAAATCAGGGAGATGGGGTATGGTTGTTTTTCCAAAGGGTGCCCTTCAGCATCACGTGTTGTTTTGAAATTGCTTGTAATCAAGATCTGATCATATTCTTGAATGAGATTTTTTCTTATAAATAAATTATTTTTGCTGTGGCAGCATTCAGCACCAGGTGTAGAGTCTTTGCATCAACTAACAAATTCATTATTTATTTAACATATAAAGTGTCCATGAAAAAAATCACCATTATTTTTACTTCTCCAGTGATCATTTCAGATATCCTTTGCTCTAGATGAAGCAGTGTGTGGAATGGAATAGCTTTCTCTACCTGAGCAGTTTCACTTTGACTGAAATTTCTGAAGCTGGTGATTCCCATGTTTCCCTTATGTCCTGTTTCTGTTCCAGGTAGTTCTGTCTAGAGCATCTGCTGAATTCACAGTTCTTTACTGAGGCCAGTTTGCTACCTCCTGATGGCTGAGTTTCAGGAAAGCACTAGGAGAAAATTCAGCAATCTGGCATGCCTCAGTAATGCCCCTGAGGGACACAATGGACATCCTTATCCTTCTGCATTACCCACCACGTGCACCCAGGTCTGAGAAAAAGCAGTCCCACAGATAGGCTTGTCTTTGCCCGAAACCCTGAAAACCTAGGCAAATTGTGTTGTTCTGATAAGAATGATGATGTTTCTGAGATGTTCGTGGCATGTTTGTGGTGGTGAGATGAAGGTTTTGCAAAGTGGGAATGTTTGTCCATCATTCATCTTCCTTGCAAGGTGTGTACAGTTTTTAAGCATAGCTTTCAAAGCCACATTTATTTATTTATTTATTTATTTTAACAAATGCAGTTTTTCTTTTCCTGACTGTCTTCATTTGTTCATTTTATCTGTAGGCATGGCTTGGAGGGAAAAATTAGGAAAAGCTTCATTTATCATTGGGAATGTTTGTATCCCTGAAGTTAAATTTGCCTCTGCCACTCTGATATGTTTGTTAACAACACATGGAAATTAAGTTATAGCTCTATATACATAGTGGATATAAAGTAACATAGATTTTCCCCCATATTAGTAGGCAGAACCCCACCTGGCCTGTTTATGACAGCTCTGCTTAAAGAAGCAGTAAGTGTCTGAATCACAGAATATCCTAGATTGGAAGGGACCCATAGACATAACTGAATCCAACTCTGGCTCCACACAGGACTACCCAAAATCTGAACCCTATGTGTGAGAATGTTGTTTTAATGCCCCCTGAGCTCCACAGCTTTGGGCTGTGCTCACTGCCCTGGGCAGCCTGCTAAGTGCCCAACCACTGGTATAGAATCTTTCCCTAACTCCCACCAGCCCCTCCCCGACTGCTCAGTGCTGTTTCTCCAGGCCCTGCCGCCGTCACAGAGAGCAGGGCTCAGAGCAACTCTTCTTCTCCCCATCATGGGAAAGCCATAGGCCAACATGGGGCCTCCTCTCAGCCTCTCTGGGTTGAACAAACCATGGGACCTCAGCCATGCCTCACATCTCTTCCCCTCCAGACCCTTTATCATCTTTGTAGCCCTCCTTTGAACACACTCAAACAGTTCTGTTCCTTTTTGTACTGTGCCCACAGCTGCATGTAGTATGCAAAGCTGCACCAGTGTAGTACAGGGTGGGACAGTCACTTCCCTTGGCCAGTTCGCAACGCTGGAGTGCTTGATGCACTCCAGGATACAGTTGGCCTTCCTGGCTGCCTGGACACAATGTTGATTCATGTTCAATTTGCTGTCGAGCAAGATCCCCCCAGGTCCCTTTCACTGAGGCTGCTGTCCAGCGTCTCCCTCCCCAGTACAGATAGGCAGGAAATGCAGAAGGGTTCACTGAATGTTACTGCCCCCTTCTGCTGGATGGTTTTTTCTTCTGCATGTCATGATAAATGATGGTATTCATATGTTGTGTTTTTTTTTTTGCCATTTAGATGGCAGTTTATTTTCAAGGTGAGCTCTAATAAGTCAGTCACTTACGAAGCAAGCCACACAGTGTTCTGTTTTGTAACTGAACTCCATAAGATGAAGTTGTCATTAGATTCTTAAACAAAAGGCAGACAAAAAAATATATGTACATATTAATTTTAAGTAACTTAACTAAAAAGAGAAGTGGAGAACATAAGATATTGCCACTTAATGATCACAAATCACCTTTCTTACTTGGTTTAAGAATCAAGTATTAAGAACAGCTTCTGAATGCCTTTTTCCTTTTCTTCTTGTTTTCTATCTGCCCTCTCCTTCCATATGGTGAAGAAGTTAAGCTTTATAAGGAGGTGTGAGTTTATTCTTATTTTGCATCATACAGGGTGAAAATGACAAAAGCCTCTAAGTTACAGACCTATTAAACTTTTAATTGTAGTGAGTGGAAGGATCTTGTACATCTAAAAGAATCCCTGAGAAAATTGCTTTTGGAGGTAAAAAAAAATACTCCAAAACCTGATTCTTTTCATTGAGCAGTATGCTGTTGAGTAGAAGTAAAATAGAGTGTGAGAAACTGTGATTTAGACCTCTGCCATGTTCACCTGTGTAGTGGGTCTTCTTGTTGCTCCAAAATATGATGGGTAGCAGAAAGGCTCTTTTCTGTTGGGAATGTTCTGGAGAGGGAGCTTCAATCTCCAAGGACTGCATGTGTTTCCCAGCGAGGTGCTGGTGCAGTGTGCTGGTCAGCTCCTTTAATTAACTGATTGTGTTTTTATAAATGAATAAGTATACAGTGCACAGTGCCAGGTAAAGGCGTGTTTCTGC